GTGTAAAAATAAAAAGAGAGCAAAGAAAAAGAAAGAAAAAAAAGAAGGAAAAGATTTTTTTTTTAGGGTAGGGAAAAAAAATAGATAGATTGATTGGAAAGAAGAGGTGAAAAGGTAATGCGAATGCAATCTGTCACATCATCGAGAACATACAAAATAGACTGTCACTGTTGATTGAGGCTGTAATTGCATTATCTCTGGTTGATTACATTGGCAAATGATGTATAGACTTTTAGGGATATGCTCTTCCTTTTCCTCTTATAGTAGGTTATAGTAGTGGTAGTAATAGTACAAATATATACATCTACCTGTATAGATAGACACACACACACACACACATACACACACACATGCACATACACACATACACATACATATACACACATATACACAGACATAGATAGATACATACACAAACATACACATACCTATGACATACATAATAGAGCTGATGATGATGGGGTGTTATCAGCAACAAAACTGTGGTTGCAATAGAAAGCAACGAGAATGAGGTGATGACGATGTTGATGATGATGGTGGTGATGGTAGTGGTAGCCACATGGATGGTACATTTGCATATTGAATGCTCTTTTACATCATTCCCTCCTCCTTCTTCATCTCTTCTACCTTTAATTGTATAGTTTGAATTATTGATAATAATAGTAATAATAGTAATAATAATAGTAATAGCAATAGTAATAATAATGATAATGATAATAATAATTAGGAAATGATTATTTCATAATTTTAATTAATTTAATTAGAAGTTAAAAAATTTTTGGAAAGATTAATAAAAAAAAAAATAAGAGGAATTGTGTGAGGGGGAAAAAAATTGGAAAGAGTGAAAGAATGAAATGAGATGAAATGAAATGAAATGAGGTGTGATTTTGTTTTTCGTTTTTTCTTTGTTTTTTTATTTTTATTTTTTTATTTTTTTTTGGTTAAAATGCGAAAATTCTAACAAGGGTTACGGTAATGGAGGAAGAAGAATGAAACAGGAGAGGAAGGGGAGGGGGAAATAAATGGATGAAATTGATGAATTCCTAAGGGAAATGGGGAGAAAGGGAGGGGGGGGGGGATGTGATGATTATCCATTGAAAGAGACAGCTACGCAAATGGGAGGTTTGGGATGATTTACCCCCTTCTCCCCGCTCCCCCCTCTCCCCTGTCCTCCTCTCTCCTCTTATACCCCGCTCTTCTGCCTTCATTCTTTTCCCCTCGTACTCCTCCTTCCTCTTCCTTGTTTCCTTTCGATAAGGTGATATTTCTGTAAACAGTTTAATAACTAATTGTGGGGGAAAATAAGGCTTTTCAGGCTGGGTAGCTTTAAAGGCTAGTAATGGAAGAGGAGGAGGAGGAGGAGGAAAAGGAGGAGGAAACTGCCAATAGATGAAAGGAAGGAAGATGGGACAGCAGAAGAGAGCCAGAGGAGAGGAAGCTTACGGGAGGAGAGGAGAGGGGATAGAAAGACGTCGTGTCCCGATGGTGAGGAGTGCAACCGGGATTGGAAGGAAATATAGTTTTGCCTGGTTTGCGAGAAATGATGACCGTTTGGTTGAGTTGTGACCGACCTTTTTGGAAGTACACGAGAGGGTGACAACGAGATACGTGTATTGCGTGTCCGTGTCCGTGTGTATCTTTGTGCATCTATAGGAGGGTGAGTTGATTTCGGGTGGGTGGGTTGGGCACAGTTTTTCCTCCTCCCCTCCTCTTGTGTGCCCCCCCTCTCCCCCTCTCCTTGCTTTCCCTCTGATAACGAGTTTGAGTTGGGGGGGTTGGATGGATGGGTGGCGATAACGGAACGGAGTTGTGCCCATCAGTCGGTCGTCCCGAGAGAAGACATTACACCAAGTTGCTTGCCTCTCGCCTCGCCATCGCTCCCTCCCTGTAACGAGCGAACCCCCTCCTCCTCCTCCTCCCCTCCTTGTGTGTCCTCTCTACTGTCAACTGCCCTCCCTGTCCTCCCCCTCCACCTCCATCACCTCTCGATCATCATCAATCCGTAAATGGATCGGCCCATTGTTGTCAATTCGCTCCTCTGTTTTATTCACAATTACCGCCATAGCCTATTACCGGAACAATTAAAGGCGCTTCTCCACAATCACTTCTCAAAAAGCGCCCGATCAATGGCTCACTCAACGCTTACCGAGCTTTTACCTTCCGTATCACTACCGGAAGTGGCTACGGCCACATATCCGGCAGATACAACTGATCCCGATGATCATGCTGATGACGATAGTGATCTGTTGTACTTGTACGATCGGATCACCAGCTCAGACCAATCACCGGTATTTGTCGCCGCTGATCTGAATATCTTACCGCTTCAGCTAATTATCGATAAAGATGATTCGAAGAGTGAGCTGTTAAGAGAAATCCGCCAATTGAAACGGTTCATCCAGGATGCTCTCAACGGACGGGTCGATGAACCACCGATAACCCAGGCTGATAGGTATCATTTTCTTCCCCCTTCCCCTTCTTCTCCTCTCGTTCCTCTCTTCTTCCCTCTTATACCTACCTCTTCAACAATGATTTCTAGGTTTCTAGGTGATATTGCTAGAGATGAAATCTTCGAAATTTCAGATAAGATTTAAAAAAAGAAAAAGTCTCAGATAAGATATTTAACCGATGTTTCTAATATCCAAACTTTTTGGCCATTTACAAGTTTATCTGTCGCAAATTAAACTTGAATCGAACTTAAGCTTGATAATCTTATATATTGCAATACTAACATTCGGTAATTTTATATCTCTGGACACTTTTCCAACAGATGACTTTAATCCCTTTAATAATAAACTTTATTTAATATGTTGCAGTGGTGTACAAACAATAAATGAGGCACAGTCTGATTGTGACCCTCATGGACAATCATCCTCCGGTTACTGTTTAGCATCACCAAAATCAAGTTTCAAATCATCCACCAATGCTTCCACATCTTCACCAGAATTACCAGCATCAACAAGTTCAATAAGTAGCACACCATGTTCATCATTAATTCCAACAACGATGGCATCACCTGTTTCACCCTATCATCATCCAGAAAATAATCAAACTATTACTGGTCTAAATAGTAGTATCCTTGGTGGTACTCTTACATTAAATGATAATATTAGCCTAAGCAATGGTAGTAATCGGGATGGTACTAGTACGAGTAGTATAACTACTATCGGTAATCATAATCGACGTAAACGTGATGGTTGCGGAAATCGTCTTGATGCTATGGTTCGAAAATTAGCTAATCGGCAAAAAGAAAAAGAAGCAGCCGCTGCTGCAGCTGCTATATTAGCTAGTGGATCAGCTTGTATATCCATGTGTTCAGGATCAACCATATCAACAATCTCATCTGTATCTTCCTCATTATCACCATCATTGTCATCATCCACTACCACTACTGCTACAAGCCTAGTAATACCACCTGAACAATCATCACCACCAGCTAAAGGTATTTGGCATACGCAAATGATTGATCCGGTTGCATATGTTAATATGTTACGTACAATGTCCGGTGCCGCCGCTGCTGCGGCGGCGGCGGCAACTGCCATTTCGTCACCCTCATCAATCTTTCCATCAATCAACAAAACGATGCAAAATGATCGGTAAGTTAAGTATTTTATCACATTTCGTATTTCTCTGTTCCGGTTTTTACCTCTTTTTTCCCCTCTTTTTCTTTCTCCCTCTCTCTTTCTCTCTCTCTCTCCCTTTCCCTTTCTCCATCCATTTATCCCTTCTTTCATTATTAAAATGTGGGATACTATATGATAGCAGTCATAATAATGGCGTAAAATTACGATTGTAATCATGATTATGATCATGATCGCGAATATTATCATTCAATCTTTCATCATCTGCTGCTCATCATGCACTTTCTTCCCCTTCTTTTTTTTATCTTTTATTTCTGTATTTCTCTTCATCCTCTGATAATCATCTTATGAGATTTTTTTTTGGTCTAGGCCATGTATCATCCCGTTTCTTTTTCTCCCGCCTATCTATTGTTCCCTCTCTCTTTGCTCCTCTTTCTCCCTTGTTACTTCTCGTCTCGGGATTTATCCTAAAAACATCATCTTTAGTAATTCTGGAATTTAACATTTTTGAATTACTATTTATAATAATTACCACTTTTTTTTTCTAAAAATATAAGTAATTGTTTTTTTTTTGAATTTTTCTCATTTGCAACATTTAATTACTATTTTTTCTCTAGATTTTTCCGAGATATTCCAAAAAAAAAAAAAAAGAAAGGGATGGAATGAGATAATAAGCAAACGAGAAATTGTATGATATAAATTTCATTTTATTTGAATAATTTTTAAATTTGTTTTCATTTTAAAAAAGTGAAAAATGATGACTGATTTGAAAAATTTTTCACTTATTATTACTACTGCTATTATTATGTTATTAAATAGTAATTTTAAAATAGCAATTGTTATTTATTATTATTATTACTATTATTATTATTACTAATTATTGTTATTATTAGTAATTATCATTATTATAATATTATTATTATTATTATTATTATTATTGTTATTATTATTATTATTATTATTATTATTATT